AGCTGGAAAAGTCTGGGGAAGCGGAACGATGGAGAGCGGAGACTCGTTAAGGCCGCTTTCGCCACAATGTCGATCTTGGTGGCTAAAAAGGAGGGACAAAACGGCACAGCGGTGGAAGGAAGCTTTAAGCCGAAGAATTCAGGCCTGGGTCCTCAGGCAGGGTGTGGCACAAAGCAAACGGGGCTCCTCAAGTGGGCAGTAAAGAACACAAAGCCGTCGGTAAATATGTTCTGATAGGAGCACAAAGACTCATCCAGAAATATCTCCAGTCCCATTTCGAGGTGCTCTACTTTCGTCTTTATAAAATTAGGAACGTGCAGGATCTGATCAGGAATGGTTCCTCACCCCGGGTTCTTCTGGTACTCGACTGAAATTCATTTGGACTGAAAAAGATCTGCTTTTCTTAACAGAAAATACCAAATGAGCTGTTTTAAAATCACCTCCAGTATCTTTTAGAAACGGCTTGTTGTTGCCTGATGGGTTAATCTATACGTAGAATCCTAATCACATCATTTTTAGCATAATTTTTGTTATTACAAACAGAAACAGATCAAATATAGAAATGGTAACAACACAATGGTCATTTAAAAAAAAAAAGTTCATTTGATTTTAAATCAGCTCACATAGTTTTGTGGAAATTGTGTTGTGTTCACTTACTTCATGTTTGAAAAAATCATATTTCTGTATCATATTTTTCCCTAAAGAACAGTTAACTTTGCCCTCAGAGGTTTAGATGGTGTTGGACGATGCCGTACTCGGATAAGGAGGCAGAAACAGCCCCTTTTATGAAAAATACTCACATCTAAACTGATGTTTTACGGTTATGCTGACATTGCTCATCTAAATTTGAAAGAATAGGTTTGTTTCTCTGCATGTTTTTGACATAAATTCAGCTTTTCAGCTTTATCCGGGGTCAAAATGAAGATGAAATATCATCTTGTTTAGGCCAGATTCGAGATGTTTAGCCACTATACAGCCTTTCTTTTTTTAAATCAACATTTTCTCTGATCTGAGAGTGAAAGCGACTCTTTTTCTGGGAGATGGTGGTTAGATCTAATCATGAACTTTCCATACAGCGACCAGTAAACCGGGCATCTCCCCCCTTTGGAGAAACCACCAAGTCCACATCTGGAGGTAAAAAATATGCTAACCAGTCTGGATCAGGAGCTTCATCACTTAAGAAGAGCATTGACCTGAATGCCTGGCTGCTGTCAAACTGTTTTCCATGGGGACTCTGTGGGGCTGGTGGCCTAGGGGGGGTCTTTGGAGCTGTCTTTGCTTGAATGTGCACCTATGCTTCTCTACCAGCATCGTTCTGGAAGATGAAGACAACCGGGGTGGGAAGGGACTCCGCCATATCGTGTTGATGCCATGGTAGTCTTCACTCCAATGACTGAACTCAAGTTTTGTGTTCTCATTCTCATTGGTGTCCTCTGTAACGCCGGCCCAAATGATGGGTCTCAGTCCCCCACAAACCCACCTACTGGACCTAATGCCCTCGTCTCTGAAGCTCTTTAGATGAGCCACACGAAACCAGCTACCAGACTCTGGGAGATAAGGACGAGTAAACAGAGACAAAGCCGGACTCCCGTCATAGAAATTCCAGGCACCGGCGTATTCCGTGAGAAGCCAGAATCAGCAGGAGGAGAAGTTGACCACATCAATCACGGGCCGAGTTTGTAAGACAGCGCGGTACACATTTGTCCTCATCAATGTGTCTTAAGGGCGTGTTGGACCAGCCCAAGCGGTCTCTGGTTCAGACGGGGCTGGTCTTGTCTCCGGCTCTGGGACCGGGCGGGCGGAGGGTTCCCCGATGCCGGGATTCCAGATGCACCTGACCTTTAGTCCGCCACGCTTCATTTCCCCCACTGAGGGGAGGCAGCTAAAGAGCTCCTTGTTTTGTCTCCGGCCGCCAAACGCAGACAAATGGGCCGATGCCCCGGGCCCCCGGGAGCCCACTCTTAGCTCGTTCGTCTTTGTATACACACACGCCTGGTGTTGACCTCGGCCCTGACCGGACCTGCTGCCAGGTGCCCTCCAGTCAAAAGCGTGACCCCCGGCTTGTCAAGACCTTCCTGCCTGACTAAATGGCGCTCCGCTCACATTTCAGAGCAGGCCCTGACAAACAGCGCCGGGGGCGGGAGGGGGGAGGTGGGTAGCGAGTCAATAGACACCAGGAGACGTTTCTGCTTGTAGGCTTGTAGGAATGACAACAAACACGCGAGGGGAGATCAGAGGGAGCGGGAGGCTGGACGTGCCGCCTAATGACCTGAGGCGCCCCGCCGGCCGGCCTCAGATCAAGTCCCGATTCCAAACCCTGCTGCTCTTAAAGGCCCCAAAAGACGACTGGTCTCAAGGCGATCTCTGGTTTTGGCCCAAACCAGCTCTTACCTTGGTTTCATGAGATGTTCCATGGTTGAATTCCCCGTCAGTGTGTCGGGCGGCACTGTGGTGTGGTGGTCAGCACCATCGCCTCACAGCAAGAGGGTTCTGGGTTGGAGTCCCGGGGGAACCAGGACCAGAGGGTTCTGGGTTGGAGTCCCGGGGAACCAGGACCTTTCTGCCAGAGGGTTCTGGGTTGGAGTCCCTGGGGAACCAGGACCAGAGGGTTCTGGGTTGGAGTCCCGGGAGAACCAGGACCTTTCTGGGTGGGGTCTGCATGTTCTCCTGTGTCAGTAGGTTCTCTCTGGGTTCTCCAGCTTCCTCCCACCGTCCAAAAACCTGCATGTTAGGTTGGTTGGAGACTCCAAACTTCCCTTAGGAGTGAGTGCGAGTGGTTGTTGGTCCTTGTGTGTCTCTGTGTGGCCCTGTGATGAACTGGGGACCAACCAGGGGGACCCCGCCTCTCCCCCATTGACCAGGCAAGGCTCCAGTTTCCCACACGACCCCATTAGGGAATAAGCGGTTACGAAATTAGATGGATAGATGGGTCCGTGTGCTGCCAACTCTCCGGGCGTTAGCCGGCTTGGTACCAGACTCCCTCTGTGACACATCTCTGAAAATATGAGCCTTCTGTCTGATATGAGTCACCTCAGAAGACGGGATCTTCCCAGATGTAGTCACTTCCATTACTGGAAAGCAGGGATCCACGGAAATAACCTCCGTTGCTCTACAGAACGATACAGGAAGTCGTTCTTACCTACAGCAATTAGGCTCTACAACTCGTCTGACCTGTCAGGGCCTCGGTCACAGGACTGGACCAATCACAGGACTGGACCAATCACAGAACTGCACATTATTATTTTTTTCTATTTAGAGATCCATCTTTTCCGATGTCTCTTTCACTTGTTTTCCCCTTTCATCTGCAATCAAATTTCCCTTCGGGTAAATGATCTATCTATCTATCTATCTATCTTTCCATCCATCTTTTCTGCAGTGTTTCATTTGTCTTCCCCTCTAATCTGCAACCAAATTTCTCTTCGGAGATAAATAATCCAGCTATCTATCTATCTAGAGTTACATCTTTCCGATGTGTCTCTTTCACTTGTCTTCCCCTCTAACCTGCAACCAAATTTCTCTTCTGAGATAAATAATCCAGCTATCTATTTATCTATCTATCTATCTTTTCTGATGTTTCTCTTTCCTTTGTTTCCCCTCTACTCTGTTTCATGGTGTTTGCCTAGCCAGTAGAACCCAACAGAAGCCATAACGGTGAGCAAAGAAGGACGCGTGGAGCCGCTTTAGTCTCTCAGTGCTTGGAGAGCCAGCACCAAGAGAAGACCCTGCTTCTGCGAGGAGCTGCCTTTAACACTTTATTTACAGTTCACAAAATACAGGTGTCGCTTTCAAACACTGTTCAAGCTTTTTTTCACATTCCAGTCGCCGGTCCGACGGCTCCTTCTCTCTTTGGTTTCCCCCTGTGTCGAGACTCCACGCGGGTGCGTATATGTACAGCACGGCTTGGATTAAACTGCTCACAAAGTATGCTTTTAATGTTTTCGCGCGGGCCGGAGGCTCCCCCTCAGACCCGGGC